CAAACAATCTTGGTTTGGTGACTTACAACATAACACGTTATCTACTAAATTTGACCAAAAGTAAATAAATAAATAAAATATGAAATGATAAACCTCACATTTCAGTCTTCAACTCATTTTAAGAGAAGGATCAAAATCATAAATTACAGACATTTTAGAGTTGAGATTTTTAGAATGCAGCTTGTTTTACATCTACAGGTTAAGATTTACAACAAAAAATTGATCTGATTTTCGCATTGGTCTGAACAAAAAAAGGCAGACGGGCTGAATGAAAATATAACTCCACTGTCTGACAACAGGTGGTGCTGATGGAACAGCAGAAATAGAGCGGATTCCCCGGTAACCGCTGTAAATAAAGCAGCGCTGCACTTTTAAACACTGCTTTATTAGACATTACTGAGGGTAAATGAAAAGCAAATATCATAGAAACACTCAGTTCTCCCTTATGCATTCATAGAATTAATTAATTCATACATTCTTTCATTTAATTTATTTCAGCACTCTGCCTTCATTCATGTTTTCACACAAAACGAAACCTACTCTGCATGTTGCGCCTGCGTGAGACTTAATTTTGCTTAATGCTGAGCAGTATTTATCTCAAGTTTTACCACATATTTATAGATTAATCCTTACTAAAGATTCAGTCAAGAGCAAATTTGAGCAGAGTGATTTTTCTTTTGTTCTTTAATATTAATAACAGACAGCAAGCTGCTCTCACTTTCAGACCAAATGCATGCAGTTCTGACACACACATCGGATTTTCTCAGTTTACTTTCATTTAAAGGGGTCATATGATGCGATTTCAATTTGTCCTTTCTCTTTGGAGTGTTACAAGCTCTTGGTGCATAAAGAAGATCTGTAAAGTTGCAAAGACTAAAGTCTCAAATCCAAAGAGATATTCTTTATAAAAGTTAAGAGTCAGCCACACCTACCTAAAACGGCTCGTTCTAACACGCCCCAACATACATAAACACATTTCATTACACCAAATACACAAAATAATGTTCTTTTTAGCAGCATCATATGACCCCTTTAAAAAGTTTTTTTTTTTTAACTTAGTTAAGACTGTACTTACAAGGATACTCGCCAAAATGGCCATTTTGACTTAATTTTGTGTGTATTTGGTAGGGATGCTCCGATCGATCGACCGATAATCACATTTTATGACTCGATCGGTACTCGCTACACTTGGCCGATCTCATGAACCGATCACAATTTGATGACGTCAACGCGTGACGACGTACATGATGTGTGGGGACATAAATGATTTGGCGCTGCAGTCATGTCATCGCCGGTGTGGAAATGCTATGACGTTTCGAGAATTTTTTTTTGCTATTTGTCGTGTATGTTTTGTATGATGATATGATGAATGAATGGTTCATCTTTAACAGCAGATTCAGTGACGTTAGAGCTGATCTGCGCCTCACTGCACAAGTCTGCGGCGAGTTACGGCTCCACAGGAACCGGAGCTGATCGTGGCCACTCTAATGCTTGTGTTTATATCAGCCAGCCGTGGCACATTTCTGGAGTGGCTCTCCGTGCTGCTTGGCTAAAAATAGTCTTTTGTGAGTTGTCACAGCGTGGAGGACGGAACAAAACCTGAGGTTTCCCCAGTAACAGCTGTACACAAAGCAGCGCTGAGCTCACAAACGCTGCTTTATCAGGCATATAACATGCAAGATGAAATGAAAATGACATCGAATGTCACAGTTTCTGTCACTGCAACTTCCCGATCAGGTGAACCAACACAAACACACAAAATCGTCTGCCTCATGAAAAAATGTAGTTAATATTTGCTTCATTTATGATTTATTTTATCCACCCGCGACCCACCCGCAAATAATCAGAATGCATTTTTTATTACCTGAGCCGCGGATTACCCGCAGCGCCCGTGGATATAGGAAAAGCAAAATATGTTTGCTGCGTAAATCAGACGGATTTACTGGCCATTTAAGCACCAGAAGAAAAGTGAACTCAGCTCTGTAATGGTGCGCTGTCAGAGGCGCGGCTCTCTCTCTGTGTGCGCGCACATAAAACAGCGCTCAAGTACCGAATTTAGTTCTCTTTCGCGATTTCTTGCACTTGAACTATTTTAAATCTTTCGAAAGCTTAAATTGGCAAAACTTAAAAACGCATATGATAAACTTTCCTGACGAGTCAAATTCGGGGTCTAATTCGTGATGTGGTAGCACTTTTTAACCGTAGCGTTCTCGAGCACAACGTGCAGAAGCACCTGGTTCTCTTAATTTCTTACACCAGCTAACAAAAGGTTTGCCGTCTCTGCCTATTTATTCTATCCACGCCCAGCGCCATTTATTTTTAAGTCCTTTATCAATTAGGACGTCTTCCCCAGGCTTCATAATCTTACTCTCCATGCCGACTATGTCTCCGCTCCTCTCAGGCATCTATGCTTAGTAGGACTCGGATGCAGCTGGATCTCAACCACACTTTTTCCAAGACCCGCCCCATTCTACTTCTGATTGCTAGTAATGTTAGTCTGGTTGAAAGTGAAAGCTGTATTCCTCTCATACCATTGGTAGGCGGTTTTTTTTAAATGTAGGACTATCTTTTGTTTTGTTTTTCGTTTTTTTTCCTGCAGCCAAACGACTCACGCCGGAGATCCGGCACGGTGCTGGAAAACTTTAAGCCCTGTGAAACTCAGTCCATGAGAAAAGTCAAAAATCATTCAAATACTTTCAAGCTATGGACAGCTGAAAATGAACTGCCTTCTTTCTGTGGTCTAGCACTACGCATGGCTTGATTAAATGTTGTTTAACGTCTCATGGAACAGTAGGTTAAGGCCAGTGAGCCGAAGAACAGCGGGTCCCCGTCCATCACTCATAGCTCTAAACAGCAGCCGCAGCTTCTCTCCACAGTGACCACGACATCAATCCTGAGCCGGGCCTGCAGTGAGCCAGTCTGGGCACTCATGTCAGCACTTCATTAACACGGGCAGAGAACGGGACCGAGCCCGATACACAGACCCTACAACCCAGACCGCAGCTCTGCTACTGGCCCAGACGCTCCTGCGGAAAAACTGAGAATATTTAGACACCTGCTGTGCAGAGCACTCGTGCTTCTGGGAAGACGCGATGGACCATGTACTGTCATATTCCAGTTTTATTCTCACGTAGTCATGCATACAAACGCACACAATGTGTCGAACCAAATCCAAACCCAGCAGTTGTGTGTTCAAATGGTTCTTCAATCAATTGGTTCCGTTTTTATTGCTTATTTAATAAAAACAACAACAACAACAACAACAATTATGACTGAGCAAGTTTTCACATAAAAAATTCAGGGTTTCTGCAATGAGCCCTGCTATATTTGACCAAACTATTATGACTTTCCCATGTGTTTTATGTTTAACAGCCAAAATATGATTTGAGCAGCAGTGGATCCTGGTTTCTGGTATATATAGGCAGTCGCCCAGAGCGGCAGTGTTCGGGTGACATGTGGCGCTACGTGTGTGCACAGCTCTCAGACGCATGCTCCATATTCAGGGCAGTTTCTCTCAATTCTGCATTCTTCTAACCCTGAAACTGTTGGGTAACCTTTCTCTGAGCCATTCTCAAAAGCAAAAAAATATATCTCTTTACCCGCTAAAAGGCAGAATATGAGAGATGATAATATTGCTGTGCACTACAGTTCAAGTGAATGAATTTAAATCCATTTAAATCAATTTAAAATTACGGTTTTCAGATTTTAATATAGTTTAAAATATAATTTATTCCTGTGATGCAACCCTGAATGTTCAGCATCATGATCCTTTTTGAAATCATTCTAATATGCTGATGTATTATCATTATTATATTTTATTATATTATTTATTATTATATTTATTATGTTTCTATATGTTAGAAACAGTTGTGCTGCTTACTTTTTTTTTTTTTTTTTTTTTTTTTTTTGAACCTGGTTCCTGTT